GTCATATGAACATATGAAAAATCAACCCGCTGGTCTGAACCCGTTATACGGTGCTTTACAAAACTAAAGCAAGAACTCAAAAGCGCGACTGTAGTCACTGTGGAGCCCAGAATGCCTCTTATTGTCGAGACAAATGCCTCAGATGTTGCCATCGCTGCGGCCCTCAAGGAGTGGAGTGTAACCCGAACTATGCCTGCGTAATTCTTCCTGGGGGGTGGGTGGGCAAGAAGAGACCGTATCTGTTCGTCACCGTTCTCCTTTGCCAAATGTGCCATGTGAATGTTTCAGTTTCAGTTTGTACAGCAATTAACCAGGCACTATCGCGCGTGGTTGCTGTATTTTGGCTGCCCATTTGGATGAACAATGAGAGAAAGAAAGGGAAGGTTGAAAGTATGATCAGAGAGAAAATTTAAAATTTCAGTGGACTAATATTGCAGAGGAAGTGACAAGATGCACGAACGCCGCTGTTTAGGACACAGCCAAGTCACTTAGTGTCTCTAACCATCTATTTCACTTTAATTTACGGCGGCTGGCTCCTGGGAGAAGATAAGCCAACTTCAGGAATATCGAGTGAATATCCGTGAAATTTCTTGGGACTTAGGTACAGGGAACGTCCCCAGCGTCACCCGGCTTTGGTGGCACCTCTAGCCTTTACACATCCAAATGCTAACTGTAAGGCAACAGGAAGGTAGCGCATGGTTGCCGGTAGCCCTCTGGAAGACAGCTCATACGCCATTGATAGTTTCTAGCTGAACAGAGGTCCATGCATCTCTGATGAGTACGGAGTCAGTGCCCTGGCCATTGGCAACACGAAGTCAACAGCCACGGAGCCTAAAGGGACGTATGTGACCCAGACTCCCGGTTAGGGTTTTCATACCCTCACATCAGGTCTTAGCTTGATCACCCTTGGCTTTCTTCCACCTACTACCTGCCTCCGCGTACATCGCTCGCCGTGTCATACGTAACACATGCCCCAACCAACGTTATCAATGATGAGTCAGCCGGACAAGCAATGCTGAGGTTAGGTGCATAGACAACTGCGGTCGACCACTTGCTCCAGTGGGCGACCGCAGTTGTCTAACACTATGCACCTAACCTCAGCATTGCTAGTCCGGCTNCTCAACGGATTCGTGCAATACTGCGTAGACAGCGGTGTTCAAACACCGACAGTCTGTCTTTATCTTGTTTTCTTAATGGCCAAGTTTCTGCACCGTATAGCAGGACTGGCGGAACTGCCATGGCATACACTCAACCCTCCACAGCCGGATGTCGCGACGGCGCCACAGATGTCTCAAGTTGGCAAATGCCAACCAAGCCTTTTGTATGCGAGCTGACACTTAATACTTGATGCGTCCACCAGGTGCAACGTAGCTGCCCAAATAACAAAACTTATCCACTCACTATATTACTTCCCCAGTCACAGTGAGGCTGGGTGCTGGATAAACACAGTCTTGAAGTAACATTTTGCACTTTGAAGGTGCCAAACGCATACCGAACATGGCTTGCAACTTACCTGGATTTTAACGTCGTTTGCATACTCCAGACCAAACAGCCTGCCATATAGGAGTAAATCGATGCCACTATCCCTGCACGAGGATAGGGCTGTTTCAAGAATTAAATCTATGACAAAGTTAAATAGAAAAGGCGAGAGAGAGCAACCCTGTCGAACACCACTCCGTGGTGAACTCGGGAGAAAAAGTGCCGTAAGCCCAGACTCGACTTCGGCTATTAGTATAAAGCGAAATTAACTTCTCGGGCACACCTTTCAGAAAAATGCAGCACCAGAGTTTAGAGCGGTCGACTGAGTCGAAAGCCGCTTTTAGATCGAGGAAAATAAAAATGGTGGGTCTACGAAAGGAGTGTCTATGTTCTAGAATTTGACGGAATGTGAAGATGTGGTCAATACAACCTCGACCAGGTCTAAAACCAACCTGGTTCTCACGCGTGCACCGTTCACGTGCGGCAGACAATCGACGGAGTATGATGCCAGCGAAAAGTTTAGAGACGNAGACGATCTGTCACCTTTCTGGTAAATCGGTATGACGGTCGATTCACATCATTCAGTTGGTACCTCTCCTACAGTGAGCCCAGGAGTTCTGTCAACTCTGAAACCAAGGCTGAGCCTCCATCCCGCAAAGGCGATGGGGACAGCCCGTCTGGGTCAGAGATCCTATGCCATTTGAAGTAGCTTATTTCCCGGAAAACCTCCATTTCAAATGGAGGACTGGCATCAACTGGGATAATTTGCCCATTCGAGGTGGAGGGTGATAGCTCAGATGTCGGAGGGGGTGCCGGGAAACCTACATTTCAGATGAGGACGAGCCAGTTGAACTGAGCCTCGAAATGCTCAGCCCAGCGGTCAAAACGGCGCTGTTGATGGTGAATCAGCATGCCATCGGATTCCTTAATTACCTCACCCATACCTAATTTCCTAGGGACCGGATTCCTAATTAGACGGAAAAGAGTGCGACTATTACCAATAGCCGCAGCTTTTTCCATCTCTTTACGGTTTCCTACCCACCACTTCTCGAGGTCATTCCTCAGACTCTTGATGAGCTGGTGTTTAAGGGATTTGCGCGCTGTATTATATGTGGCATCAGGGGGGAGGTTTCTGCGGGCATCCAGCAGGGCAGTCGACAAGATCAATCGTTTGTTTGGAGCCTACGCCAGGGTCCGACGTTGGTTTTATCGATGTCTGCATAGCTTCCTTGATTTGCTTCCAGTGGTTGAGCTTATAGACGATCGGAGTTCCGCTTCGAAAGCCGATTTGCAGTAATAGCGGAAGCTGTACCGTCATCATCATCATCATCGTACAGCGAAGCGAACTTCGTTGATCGCTGCCAAACTCGTAATGCATACAAGGTTGGTGGTAAAATTTAGGGTGGACAAGGATTGCACTTATTTTGAGGGAAGGAGAAGATGAGCCACTATGGTCAACACACAGAGTAGGCAATCGAACTCTGCATACATACCGTTTCAAGCATTTTGACCTGATAAGAAAAGACAACAAGAACGCCACTGCTGCCGGTTCGCTGCCATATCCTTCAATGT